CGAGTATATTTGGGAAATCCCTCAAGGTTTCGAGGATAATCGTAACAGTATTTATGTTAGCAAAGCTAACGATTAAGAATGATTGATCTAATGGTGCGATGGTATGCATCAACATATGTTTTTTCCATTTGTGGAACGTATGTATATGTGAATTTATACAACCGTACTAGGACGTCACTACGTTCTGATATGGGTTTAGTACGTTTTAGAAAAGTGTTTAATCTACTCCTCTAGTTCGTTTTATTAAAAAAATCTACTCTATAATAAAGTTTTGATTCATGTCAATATTTAGGTATGGATGACGATGATCTTACTGAAAATGAGTCACTACATTGACCATATTTAAATATTCTGTCTATATATGTATGTATAAATAAATTAAAATTGGAAAGAGCTGATTACTGTTTAAGTTAAGTTTATTACTTTGATCATTATGTGAAATATTCCAATTTTGTGATATTGCGAATGTGAAAAAAGATGAAACCCGGCTACTACGAAAATTGGTTTTTACTCCAATTGTTAGAGTGGTGCGTACTAAATAATTTCATAAGTCCAAGCCCTGTTTCACAAATAGGACAATTAAGAAAATTCATTCATTTCATTGGAAGAATGGGATGGAAAGTACATTCATACACGAGGGAATTACGCAATCGCAGGTAAGAAGGTTGTAGAGGTTGTAAAAATTAGTAAATTTAATTTGTAATTAACACTAATATTTTTCCTTTTCAGACTCCAAGCAGATTCAAGTTTACTTTTTCCTTCATCTCCATTCAAGCCGGTTGGGAGTTCTGAATGTGAATTTGCGCCAAATTCAAATAAAATAGTTCTATATCCTTAAATCGGCAACAATTAAGATATTTTTTAAATTAACTCTTCAGTTCCTACTCAAACGCAAATAGGATAAAATGAAGCCACAATACAAAGTTGCCGACATCAACCTTGCTGAGTATGGTCGCAAAGCCATCATAATCGCGGAGAATGAAATGCCTGGCCTAATGGCCATTCGTAAGAAGTATGGACCACAAAAGGTTTTAAAGGGTGCACGTATTGCTGGCTGTCTCCATATGACAGTACAAACCGCCGTATTGATAGAGACACTCGTGGAGCTGGGCGCAGAAGTTCAATGGTCAAGCTGTAATATATATTCAGTACACAAGATCATGCAGCTGCAGCTATCGCGAAGACTGGCGTACCAGTTTATGCCTGGAAGGGTGAGACCGATGAGGAATACTTATGGTGCATTGAGCAGACTCTGGTATTCGCTGATGATAAGCCATTGAATTTGATTCTCGATGACGGGGGGCGATTTAACTAACTTGGTGCACGAAAAGTTCCCACAGTACCTTAAAGACATCAAGGGCTTGAGCGAAGAAACCACAACCGGTGTACATAATTTGTACAAAATGATGAAGGAAGGTCGACTAGGTGTTCCTGCCATCAATGTTAACGACTCGGTGACGAAGAGCAAATTCGATAATCTATACGGTTGTCGCGAATCGCTAATTGATGGTATTAAGCGTGCCACAGACGTCATGATCGCTGGAAAAGTATGCTGCGTTGCCGGCTACGGTGATGTCGGCAAAGGTTGCGCACAAGCGTTGCGTGGCTTTGGCGGACGTGTTATTGTCACGGAAATCGATCCCATAATCGCTTTGCAGGCTGCAATGGAAGGCTATGAAGTTACCACAATGGAAGAGGCATGCAAGGAAGCGACTATTTTTGTAACCACCACTGGCTGCAAGGTCATCATCACTGGCGCTCACTTCCTACACATGCCCGACGATGCGATCGTTTGCAACATTGGTCATTTCGATTGTGAAATTGATGTAGCTTGGCTTAATGCCAATGCCAAGGAGAAGATAAATGTTAAGCCACAAGTGGACCGTTATACACTCTCCAATGGACGTCATATTATTTTGCTCGCCGAAGGACGATTGGTAAATTTGGGTTGCGCGCACGGTCATCCCAGCTTCGTGATGTCCAATTCGTTCAGTAATCAAGTGCTAGCACAAATTGAATTGTGGACTAAAGCTGAAAAGTACAATGTCGATGTGCATATGTTGCCCAAAATACTCGACGAAGAAGTGGCCAGCCTGCATTTGGAGAAATTGGGCGTAAAATTGACAAAATTGTCCGATGACCAATCCAAATATTTGGGTGTGCCGAAGTCTGGTCCATTTAAGCCCGACCATTACAGATACTAAGGAGACAGTGTAGATTTTATCACAAAGGTAAAAATATTATTATTGATATATATTTTTGGTGATACCTATTTGCTTTTGTTGTAATTTTTGATTTAATAAAACTCATGAGAAGAAATAAAGTGGATGAAAACGGCAATGTTATACTATCGTGTGAAGGCATTGAATATCAAAATTAACAAAAATAATATTTTAAGTATGAGATTAAATAAAAATATTTACTCTTAAAAACAGTAAATGCTGCATTTAGACATTAAAAAAAACATGCATAGTTAATTTAAAACGTCGAAGCCAACGGGAGTATTTAGCTTGTAAGCTTATGGTAGCAACTATTTATTGACGTATAGCACACAAACAGATATTAACCCTAAGTAGTAGGGAAGTAGCAAATTCGGGCTGGGAACATTTTTTGTCAGCAAGAGTTTGTGAGTAAAATTGGCGTCCACGGCTGCATTTCGAACATTATAACTTTCCATAGGTCGCTGGTTCAAATCCGGCTCGAAGGACCAAATGTTTACACGGGGGCGTGGTGGAATTACGCTCCGGTGTAAATATAGCAGAAAGAAATAAATAGAACCAAGATATTGTGATTTTAGTTTTAATTCAATACAGGGTCAATTTATTTCAATATATATATATATCTGTGGGTATAACAAAATATTTAAATACCTTTGGACTGGAGTGGCCTGGTAGCTGCTGTGTGCTCGTTGAACTGCTAAAACCGAAGTGAAGTACTGGACGTGCGGGGTTTTTAATCGGACCGCCGGACAACCGATGTTAAGGGGAAACTTAACGAAGGTTTATTGTCCGGCGGGAAACTTTAGTTAACGGCGCGAATTAATATTAGTACGTGTGCACATGTATGTGTGTGTACATATGCACATATGCCAACATTAGGGCGGGTCGAAAAAATATAGAAATATTTAGGGTGAAGGCCTAAACAAACCCTCTTGCACACCTGTAGGCAAAGACACTTCATTTGACCCCACGTTTTTTAAAACCGGGCAAACGGTGTAATCATTATAACTTTTTGACAGAAGGCAACCCTATTCAAAAATAAAAGCCTTGGTGCACTTCTAAAGGCCAGGTACTTTCATTGGATACCTAATTTTTGAAAATCGGGAGAACGGTGTAAATATCAAATTTTTAAACGCAGGTGGCAACCTTATTAAAAAAATATATCCTTTCTGCACATCCAGAGGCCAAGCCCTTTCATTTGACCGCTCATTTTTAAAAATCGGGAGAACGGTGTAAATATCATGTTTTTAAACGCAGGTGGCAACCCTATTAAAAAAATATGTCGGAGGGGAAGCCCTTTCATTTGACACCTCATTTTTGAAAATCGGGAGAACGGTGTAAATATCATGTTTTTAAACGTGGGTGGCAACCCTTTAAAAAATATATATCCTTTCTGCACATCTAGGGGCCAAGCACTTTCATTTGACACCTCATTTTTGAAAATCGGGAAAACGGTGTAAATATCATATTTTTAAACGCAGGTGGCAACCCTATTAAAAATATATATCCTTACTGCACATCCAGAGGTCAAGCCCTTTCATTGGACACCTCATTTTTGAAAATCGAGAGAGCGGTGTAAATATCATAATTTTAAATGCAGGTGGCAACCCTATTAAAAAAATATATGCCTACTGCACATCTAGAGGCAAAGCCCTTTCATTTGACACCTCATTTTTGAAAATCGAATGAACGGGGCATATCTTATGCAATTAACAAAATTGCCTTCGCACAGAATGGTATCTCTAGCCACACCAACATTCCGCGAATATTTGCCGCAGCATTTACGAATACATACGCGTACGAACAACAGCGGAAATTTTTTCTACCCAACATTCGCGAACGCGAACTATCTGGACTGGTTTTATGCTTATCGTTCGCGAAGGAGAATCAATACAGAATATTTGATACGTTCTCCTTCGCGTATAAAATCATAAATGTATGTTCGCGAACGTTCATATATGAATATTTCCGAACCCTGGTATATTGTAACCAGGGTTGTTGCGAATATTCGCATTCGCATTCGCAACCGCGGAGCTTCCGCATTAATTTTAACATTCGCATTCGCTTTCGCATTCGCAATAATCAATGCGGATCTTTTGCGAATGCGAATATTGAAGGGACCGAAAATAACAGTTGTTTTTACCAGTTAAACTTGGCCAAATATTTTTTATTCCCAATTAAAAGTCTTTTCCGGATAATAAACAAACTGCTTATCCAAATTAAACAAGTTTGGTGCCAAATGAAGGAAATGTCTTATCGAGCAAAGCCACCCATTGAAAAATATTTCAATAAAAAATGTTAATTAATTACCATAGATCAAACCTTGGGTCTGGTATATGAATTTCGTTAGTATTAAATGGTAAAAAAAATACAAATAGATGTGTAACCTTCGTTCGTTATTTCTGCTTAAAAGCTATTCCAGTCACAGAAGAAAGGATTAAAAATGAATTACAAAAACAAAATCGAAAAACGCTGGTGACGTTACAGGTTCTCCAAATTCAGAAACAACCAAAGGAATGAGAATGAAGATATCTTTGGAAATCAACGGTGTTTAAACAACGATCTTGCCATGGTACAAGATTGTGAAGATGGAAGTCAAGAGGATACATCCGACATTTGCAGCCCGATGCAATTATCAAAAAATAATTATTGCACCGCAATAAAATAAAAAAAATATAACTGAAAGACCTGGTGCGGCGTCAATCAAAACGAATTTACAATTTTGTCAAGTTTCAAGTTTTTCAAGTTTGTCGCCCCGACCGACCGAGTTATTTAGTGGCGCAGGTTTGATTTGCGACCCTTTAAAAACTTTTTACTGAATACTGTGTTCCAATTTTTAAATTCAAATACTAAAAACACATTATTAAAAATCCATTTCCATTTTTATTTAACTAAATCACCTAATCTACTCACCTAAGTTATTTTTTAACAAGTAAAAAAGTCTAAGATCGGGCGGAGCCGAACATTAAATACCCGGCGCAAGAATTCAATATAGTTTTTTCACCTTTCCGAAGACTACCGCTATATGGTAAGCAGTGGTGGTTTTACGTCTATTTCAAACACCTTCGATAGAACGTTCAGTTAGATATAATGAGTTAAACTTATTTAGATATATGTGAGCGGCAGCACGCCCATTTTCCAAAATTCCATAATAATGTTAGATACTTCTTTTCAAGGGATTGTTGTTAGTATCAATTTTGGGTAAAATTAGCTTCATTATATTTCGAAATATCAAAGTTTCAAACATTTCTGAAATTTACCGTTATAAAAAAGTGGGCGTAATTTTAGTCAGATTTCAAAACATTCAACGTTTTGCCTTTATGTGGCAACCACAATGATCATACCGAGTTTTGTACACATTGATAGAGCGGTTACCGAGATATACATATGTGGTTATAAGTGGGCGGGTTCACGCCCATTTTCCAACCTTTTATTATAAGCCTATTTGTTGCTAAAGAATTATTGCAAAAATAAATTTTGCATAAATTACCTTCAGTATTTACTGATTTATAGAAGCTTTCGTATTTCTCTAAATTACCGTTATATGGGATGTGGGCGTGGTTATTATCCGATTTTCTAAATTTTAAGCCGTTTAGTGTGTTTTGTGAAGGCCAACAACTGTGCCAGGTTTGGGAGAAATTGCTGGAGCGGTTCCCGAGATATACACATGTATGTAATCATAAGTGGGCGTGGCTAGGCCCATTTTCCAAAGATTTATAATATTCTTATTTTTCGCCTAAAAATGATTGTAAATATCAATTTTGAGTGAATAAGCTTCAGTACTTACTAAAATATCGCAGTTTCCGCATTTCTCAAAACTACCGTTATATGGGAGGTGGGCGTGGTTATCGTCCGATTTTGCCCAGTTTCAATACCATCCGTCCAACGCTCAAAAGAAGTACACATACCAAGTTTCGTTAAGATATCTCAATTTGTACTCGAGTTATGGTGTGCACAGACAGACGGACGGACGGACAGACAGTCAGCGCTTAATCGATGTCTCTTTTCATTCTGATCATTTATGTATATATTTGTCTATATCTATCTCAATTCGTTTTGCCTGTTACAAACAACCGTTATGTGAACAAATTTATAATACCCTTGTGCACAGGTGCGCTCGTGTATAAAAATACTTGACATCCGCATTCGCATCCGCATCTGCGGATGTTAGCGTTTAAACATCCGCATCCGCATTCGCATCCGCGGATGTCTAAAATTCCACATTCGCAACATCCCTGATTGTAACTACCAATATCTTATTAGAGAAGTGTAAAATTTTTTTTTATCTAAAACTAATAAAGGTAGAAGGACGAAATTCGAGGATGTGGTAGTTTACATATTCGTCCTTGATATATATTTTTTTCAAAAATAAATATTGGAAATTTCCAAGGATATCCAAGGAAAAAGTTATAAAAGGTAATTTTCAACACTTATTCGTCCTGGTGCACCAAAGAATTATAATTTTTTTAAATTCTACAGAATTTTTCCATGTTGTTGCTCTACAATGCACCAAATCTTTTAATTAATTTTTTTATTCAATCATATCCCAACAATTTCAAAGTCCTTTAAAAAAAGCCTGACGTCACACATAGGGGTATTTGGCCGATTTAGGCGGCCAAAATTATTTTTATTAAAATTTTATTTCAAAATGTTTAGAAAGGACGTGTTACGATTTCTAAAACTGTAAATATTTAAAATCAAGTAAATATAGGTGGAGGACGTACAATTAATCCTCCAAACAACGAAAATAAAGTTGGTTAAAGTTTGACACCGATAGACTCTGGCCTCTATTATGAGTTGCATTCGATTTTCGACGGTGGTCGAAAGTGCTGAGCGAACGAATTATCACTTGGTATTATGGCGCTCATTCGATGAAGAATAGCGCTATTGTGAATTTCGCTCGTTTAGGTTGTTCACAACAGTATATTTTTCACCGCTGGGAAGCTTTGTTTACAAATCGAGCAAACTAAATAGTGTGCTTATACATATTTATGTAAATTTGTTCTAATTAAAATGAAGTAAAAAAGAAAGCAAGTTTATAAAAACGTGGTAAAATATGTATTTGGATATAAAATATATTTAAGAAATTTGTCTTCAGATTCATTAAAAAGTTCC